TCTAAAAGAGCTTTGATACATGGCTCAGTGGTTTTTCAATGTATCACTGGATTGCAAGACAAAAACTTGCTCCACTTGATGTTCTTCATCCTTCACCACACTGCCAGTCTGACCATTCTCTACTCTAGCAGCCAGAGTCCAATCAGGAGACAGCGACCACAGAGTAATTTGAACAGAGAAACTTCAGTGAAGGAATTATTTACTACAATGGGAGTTGCAATGCTGAGGGACTGGCGAACAAGAAGTTAAAGAGATGTCTAAAGAATACCAGAAAAGAAGATGCAAGGAGCAGACACTACCCCAGAACCTCCAAGCTGAGTTCTCTTCTCCTCCCTTCCACCAGAGCTGAGGTACAGACCTCATTAGAGAGGTCATGACTGTGGCTCAATGAATGACAGAGAAGTCACTAAGGTGCTGCACTTGTAGAACTTGCTGGAAATCTAACATCTAGGATGCTGGGAAAAATCATTCACAGAAAGCTACGCATGCACCTCAAAGCTTATTGCAAAGCCACACGAGGGAGTGCTAAGGGAAGCTGCTAACCTCTGCGTGTTCCTGGCTGCCATGTGCTATAAGACCCAGGCGCTGAAGAAGTTGCCCACACGGCAGGAGCCCCCACCACTGCAGAACCTGACACCTAAGAAGCCCCACGTGCTGCAGCCATGAACCCTAGAGAAACCTCAAAAGCTGCAGGATCCTGGTGAGAGGACACACCAGAACCAAAGAGAGAAACCCCTTCCTTCTGCAGTATCTTGCCAGCCCCCACTACTGACCAAGCCGAGCATTGTGTCAGCTGGAAGGAGAAATAGTTATGGGATTCTGCTCCATTATCACAGAGATAATTGGGACAGTCCACCACTTTGGAGACTCTGTTTCCATATGCAGCCTCCTGTGTATATGTAGACTTCCATACAACAATGAAACTACTCCACATTTTCACCTAGTGAGATACAGCTCTCTTTCTTACGAGTGAAAAGGTTATTACCATCTCTCCAAAATGAGGAGTACACAGTCCCAACAGTCTATATTAAGTACTTCTCAGATTTTGTCATAGTCCCACAGAATATACTGTTACCTAAGGTCTAAACTGTAATATTAACTTCCAACAAATTACATATAAATTTACATATAAAATGAAAATGGAAGGAAAAATAAAATGGTTAGTATGCACAAAAATGCCATATATGCATAAAAGAAAGTAAATATGCAAAACTACTACTGTCCTTGTTTTTATAATTGGCCACAAGGATGTTAAGTAGCCATTGATGAATTTCTAATTGTGTCATTTCTTCTACATTTATTAGTTGGCATTCTACTATAAGGAAGGCTATTCTCTTTACATATTATTTGTTTATTTATATTACTGAGGATTTATGTACTTTCACTCATTGGGTTATAATCTGTTACTATCATATTTTATTTTGATGATATGCATTTGCTAATCAGAGTCTTTATAAACTAATTCCTAGTCCTTTTGACTTGCCTATCATTTTTGAGTACTTCCTTATTTCCTGGCACAACATATTCTAGAATCATCTTGAACTTTCTCAACCCCAGTGGTCAAAGCAATCATTTCTCCAAGGAGCTGTGGTTCCTTTTGTGGAGAATGGTACTGAGAAATCAATATGTGGTTGCTAAATGTGTTTATCCCTATTGGAGTGTCTTTGCTTCTAGGTCCCCTCAGTAGATACAGCTGGGAAATGTGTTTGTGTGTATACATGAACACATACACATATAAACATATGCACACATTCATATCTACATTTATTTCTACATCTACTTATGTAAATATTAAAAAACATGAGTTCATACTTGCTGTGGACTGAATGGCTCCCCCTAAATTCACATGTTGAAGCTCTAACCTCCAGTGTGACTGTATTTGGAGTAAGGAAGTAATTAAAGTTAAATGAGAGTGTGTAAGATCGGAGCCCTGATCTGATAGGATTAGTGTCCTTACAAGAAGAGACACCAGAGAGCTAACTTTCTTTCTCCAGCATGTGAGGACACAGTGAACAGGTGGCCATCTGCAAGCCAGGAAGGGAGCTCTCACTACAAACCTAATCAGCTGGCACCTTGATCATGGATTTCCAGCCTCCAGAACTGTGAGAAAATTAATTTTTCCTGGATAAGCCACCCAATTTATGGTATTTTGTTATGGCAGTCCAAGCTGACCAGTATATACTGACCTTTAATTCTAATAGACATGGTGTATTTTTCTATAATGTAACATTTGCCTGTAGGACTTTGCTATTTTGGGCCTATTTGGGTTGTAAGTTCAGAGAAGAGGGTTGTAGTAAGCTGCCTTATATAATGTCTAAAAGAAGGGTGCTTTTAAAAAAGTTTAGAATGATCAAGATAATTTATTAAGAAAAACAGAGTTGACTAAGAGTCACACTGATGATTTTCAGCTGAGTATGAAAGTTCTCTTTCCAGAACAGGACAGATACCAATAAGAAACCTAGGGGAACAAATCTCATCACTACTGGGGGACCATTGTAACTGTCCAGCTGTTTGAATTAACTCCTGCAGGATAGAAAAGGAAGAAGTCAAATGCTGGTTTAGCAACTGTAACAAGGTTCATATTAAGCACTGTGCCTACAACAGCTCGCTTCATCCTCAGAGCAGTGCTGAGAGGTAGGTATGATTATTTCCATTTTATAGATGAGAAAATAGAGAAACAGAGAAGTCAAGTCATTTGTCTAAGGCTGAACAGCTAGAACCTCTTTCCTAGACTCGACTCTGCTAAAAACTAGTACCTTACTGAAGTACCTATTGGAGCCTGAAGCAAAAGGAAAAATGTGCACCCCTATATGCACTCACGAAATGGCCTTCCAAATCTTGAGTCAAATGGAAAAAGTGGATAAAAGCCCTACAGTCAAAGAACATGACCATATACAAAGCCCTGTGCTGCCCAATCTATTGGCACTATTGTCAATCCTCATAAAGCCAATTGGCAGGAGATGCAATGGTGACCCACTTGGGAACTGTGGCTGATTGGAAATGACTGTTCCTGTTACAAAATAACACAGGGTCATAAAACACAGACTGTCTTTTAAATCTTGTTCACCATGGATGTTTCATATTAATTTTGATTTTTAAAACTATTACATTAAAATATTTACCTTAATTACTGAGTTTTTGGTGCCCCCTTAAATATTACTCCTTACCTTGAATATGCCTCATTTGCCTTCCCTTAATCTGATTCCTGGTAAAACCAAGCCTTAGTCTAAATTACACCAGGGCTCCATTCCCTAGAGTTGACCTTCGCTAAACAGGACCTTGAGGGGCGTGGATCCCAGACGCATTCTGTAGATCCCAAATTTCCCATTCCTGCATAGCCCACACAACTGCGGAAGTGACCTGCCTTCTCACTAGAAATAATGAATCATAAAGCTATAATAGAAGCGGTTCGATTGTGTGGTAGGCACGCGGTCACATGCCTGCAAAAATGTTTGGAGATACCACATATTCTCCACCCAGCCTTAATCACATCTGACCCAGAAGCCACAAGTTCCCAATTCCTACAGTGAGCTCATGGCATCAGAATTCCTAGGCTGTCCGCGCTATTATATGCCAAGAGTTTGACCTTCCTACTGCTGAGAATGGGGTAAAGAGAGTCTGTGGTTCAGAAGCCTAGCTTCTGAAGGAAGGTTAAGGAGTCTCCTTAGCCAAACTGCTGGCTGAAAGGCTTTGCACCAGTTATTGGAGATGAACACTGGTGATTTCTTGTTCTTTTCGATATTTCCGCAAGGCTTTAGGAAAAGCAAAGAGAAACTACTGTTAAAATGTTTTTAACTACAGCAAAGCACTTGCTGGTGTTCCTATGCAAGACAGAGGAACTGGAGACCAAGGGATGAGGAAGAACAGCTCCCAAACATCCCTTCCACCTTTAAAAAGGGATCCACAAATCCTGGTTAGCTGGCTCTTATACTTTCCCCTCAGAACTTTTACAGAAGAGAATCAAACTTAAATAACTACAAAGGTCAGCTTTGAAGTGAAAAAGAAGTTTGGGGGACCTAGCTACTTATTCCCAGGCACCCTTCCTGACTACTTTTGAACCAGGGCACAAACAGCCCCTCATCTTCCAAGGAAGTTAACAGGCCATTTATCAAGTGCTTATTGGAACCCTGCATCCACAGCTCTCCAATCCACGTTTAAGCTGCAGCCAAATGACCTTCTAAAAACACAAACTTGTAATGAGAATGAAATGTGCTAATATTTGTAAAGTGCTGACTGGCTTTACCGGCACAAAGTATGTGCTTTATTCCCCTCAGAAAATCAAATGGAATCACTGCCTGCCTCCTCTTGACTTCTGTTTACCCGCCACTCTTCCTTCCCCTTGCTAGTCTTACTCCAGGCCTCTTCATCAACTTCTCCTTTATACCACAGTTTAAATGTTATTTATTCACCTTCTAGGACCTTCCGGAAGTGGTTTGGCTCCTCTATTTACCCTCTTAGTGCCAAATGTTTATCATAATTGTAATCACAACTGTAAGTTTTAAGCTTTTTATTATCTGTCTCCCCTACTAGGCTGTAAACTCCTCCAGGGCAAGCAAGGACTTATAGGTTGCTCCTACTTCCTGCTAGTCAAGGAACTTGACAGGGTGGGTCCCTCTCCTGAATGAATAAAACCTTTGAAAAACTCTCATTTAGACAACTAGCCCAAGGTTGCACAGCTGATCCGAGATTCGAACCCCCGATATTCTGCCTTTGAAGCCCAAGGCTGATCACAGCACCGCACAGACAGTCCCTTCCTGCCCTTCAAAGTTAGAGCCAGAAGCCAAGTGATCTGGGAGGTGAGTTTAAGGAACTGCAGTTCTATTCGCAGAGGGCCACATGCGGCAAGGAACTCGGCGCCGCGCTCACTTGGCCTCGGGCTCGGGAGGGGGGCACTCGTCACGTGTACCTCGCAGGGCCGGCAGCCGCCGCACCCGGAGGCAGGAATGCGGCCCCGCCCGGCTCTCACGCCAGCAAAAACCTCGCTCTCCCTGGGGACTTACGTCAATGAAAGAGGGGCCTCCAGGAGCTGCCGCGGGAGGGCGGAGGTGGGGGGGGTGGAGCTCAGATGGGCACGCCCCTCGGCGCTGCTCCGCCGCTGATTGGGCCCGGGGAATCCTAGCCCTCGGGCTTCGGGGCGGGCGGAGCGGAGGGGCGGGGCCTGGGCACGCCCCTCGCCCCTCTGCCGCCGCAGATTGGCCCACGGAGTCTCGGCGTTTGGTTTGGAAGACTCGCTCCGAGCTGACGCCCAGGCTCGGCGGGGGATTGGCTGCTCCAGGGCTGGGGAGTTCTTTCTTCGGGGAGCCGCGGGTGTGGCAGCGGTGGCTCTCCTCGCGCAGCCAGGTACGTAGGTCGGCCGTCCGGCTCGCGTTGCGGTGGGAGCAGGCGGGCAGGCCATCAGTACCGGCGTAACGCCGGGACCCGAACCCCCAGATCCACTGAGGGCTTGTCGTCGTACGAAGCGGTCACATCTGAGCTCCTGGGGCCGACCTGTGCTGGTATGTCGCCGTGTGACCTCGACCAGGATACCCCCGCCCAAGCTGTCCTGTGTGTGAAGGCCGCCCGGTCTTTGTGAGCACCGACGCGGCAAGAAGCCCAAAGCTGCGCCCGCCTTTCGTTGGGGCCCATCCGGATTTGAGGTCTGCCGGCGCTGCCCTTTAGCGTGGTGAGTAACCGCTCTAAGTCCGCGGGGTCGTGGAGTGCGGAGGGCACAGAGATTAGTTTGGAAGACCTGACTTTTGATCCCTGCACCTTCCAAAACCCGCAGAAGCAAGATAACTGGCTCCAAGAGGTTTCAGAGCCTCCTGGGTCCTTCCTTCCCCTGAAGACCTCGTCAGCCATCTGGCAGGAACAAAACAGTGGTTGAGAGCGTGGGCACTGAGGTCAGACTACCTGGGTTCATATGCCAGCCTTGTCACCTACCACCTGTGTGACTTCAGGCAGGTTACTTAACATTTCTGAGCCCGCTTTCTCATGTGTAAGATGGTGTAACTACAGTGCCTCCTCCTAGGGTGTTGGGGGGATTAGAGATTGCCCGTCTCAAAGTGCTGTTCTGCACTTGACAAGAGCAAGCTGCCTCAATGGCAGCAGCTATGCTTTAAAAGTCCATAGATGAATCCATCTCCCTTTACCCTCTTCTCCCAAGAGTGAAGATCCCTTTTGAGGGAGTTCCATGACAGTGGTGAAGATGAAAATGACAATGATTCTATAGTCCCTGGTGGTTAGATAGTCTTTCCCTTAACATCTTTCATTCACGATGAAATGTCCTGGGATGCATGCTTCTATCTCCCTTGTCCCCTTAAGGGTTATTTATTCTCACCATTTTGATGATGAACAAACTGAGGTAGGGAAAAACTGAGGCTTGCCAAGGTCACCCAGTTGTCTGTGGCACAGCCAGAATTAAGGGTTCTTGAACTCTTGAAGAGTTATTCCTAGACCTAGTAGGAGTTTATTTCCAGGTCATATCTGCGATTTGGAGGCCAACGTGTGTCCACTTCTCTCAGGCACACCTGGCTGAGAGTAGGCTCTGCCAGGTGGGAGGCCCACATGGTCATTTGGACTGGGCCTCTCACTTGAGGAGCCACAGATTTTGACTGCTGTCCAGTCATAGGCCTGTGCAAGGAAGCAGGCCAGGGTCACAGTTGTTGATTTGGGCCTTGGGCCAGACCCTCCAATTCATTTTCTAAGATGCCCTTAGTCTCTGACTACAGATTACTATTATCTCCATGATTATCTGAAGGAGGCGAGCTGAGTGTGGAACCAGTTGCCCCTAGCTCACACTGTATTCTGCCTCTCCTGGTTACTTGCGCCTCTCTGAAACCATAGTGAGAATAGCTGTCTAAACTGAGCTTCACCTATTACAAAGAATGCTAAATTGTGCACCATATTTATATACTGCGAATTCACTGTGCGATGAGTCATGTTTTAAATACTTTGTTAGAGCTCTATAGTTTATTGCCTGTTTTAAAAGAAGTTGAATTCTGTCATTTTCAACATGTGATGTTTACTTTGGGGGGATTAATTTTAAAGCTAGTTTGTATCAAACTGAAATATTTTGCAGTAATCCTTACTCATTTGCTCACAGACCCATGCTTATTTTCTTTTTATGTCAACTCTGAAATGAAAGATCCATCTGTAATATTTTAATAGTCCCATGGTTTCATTTTCCAATTTTAGAATCATTGTTCAGATATACACCAACTTACCAGGAAATTCATGAGAAAGTAACACATGGAATGAGACAGGAAGAGCCTCTCCTGATAATAAAAGTGTCCTGATTCAGTTTTCCCAAAGTTTACATCTAATCCTACATGAAAGCCACAGATTTTTGTTCCCAGCCTCTCTCTGCAGTCTGAATCCCAGAGTGGGAGGCATAGCCAAGAATGAGGGGCCTCAAAGTCTGGAGGTACCAAGGGTCCCCCCACTGAAATTCATGGAGGGTGTGGTTGAAGCTGGAGCCTCAGACTCTTCCAGATGGTTTCTCCTGGTGCATTTGGAACTAAGTCAGCATTTGGAGGCTAAAGGCTGGAGGCAGGGGCTTGCAGGGCCCTGCAACCCTGGCAGAAGAGGCTGGGACTAGCTGGGAAATCAGGCCCCTGGCTATTTCCTCCCTGAGGCAGCTGCTACTGCTTGATCCCTTTGTCATTCTCTCTGAAGGGTGGGTGAGATTGCCTGAGTCTGAAAGAAGGGACAGAACCCCTTTTCCCACCACCCAGACCAGCTTAGGAGGGTGCCCCTGGCGTGGCCATAGCCTAGGTCACTGGAGTACTTTAGAGCAGTGAGCCGTCTGTCTTCTACCAGACCTTCACCCACAGCTCACAGCAGCAAAACAGCATCTGGCCGCCAGGGAAGACTGAAGAGGGCAGAAAGGAGAGCTACTTGGTTGGGGAGTTTCCTGGCTCCTAATTAGCTAGACCTGTCCACACATGTTCCTAGGCGCTGGCAGACAAGCAAACCCTTCTCTGCTTTCATACAGGCCTCACCACATCATGGAATCACTGACTTGGCAACACTGGCACACACCCTCAAAGACCATAAGCGTCAACCTGTTCATCTTACAGATGTGCGAGGGAAACAAGAGGCCCACAGAGGCCCTATGAAGTGCCTAAGGCCTCTCAGCCAGAGTGGCAGAACTAGGACCGGAACCCAGTCCTCTGACCCACTAGCCAGCACTCTGTGCACAGGGCTGGGTTGCAGTTCCAGATTTCTTTTGTGGAAGCTGAGGCTCTTCCTCTTCAGAGTGCCAAGGCTTCAAGGCTGGGGCAGCCTGTCACCTAGTAAACAGCCCTGACACTGGTGACAAGATTAAAATAAATTCTATAACCTCTGCTTATGTATGGAATATTCATTGTTCTTCTCTTTCTACTGGCCAGTTCCCCTTTGTGAATTAGGTAAGGATAGTGAGACACTTCTTGCAGAAATGGGAAGAAATGTGCATTGAGTGGCTTACTGTGAAGGCAGGACAGTGGTTTTAAAGTACAGGCTGTGGTCATCTGGACTCTGGCCTTGGCTTGTTTGTATCTGTATCTCAGCTTCCATTTGCTCCTCTCTGAATGGGGATGAGATTAAATAGTACCTGATTCCTACAATTGTTTTTGAGGATGAAATGATATACATATTGCCCAGTACTGAATAAATGTCCCAGAATTAGCTTTTACTTCTTTATCAGCCTGAAAGTGTTACTTGGTAACTGTTTTCTGGTCACAGTGTATTTATATCATCCAGCTCTGGGGAGGATTAATTACCACATACACTAGGTTTTGACTGGATTCTCCTAACACTGTCTAAGGAGAGGCAGATTTTAAGATTTCCTGCTTCCAGATAAAAAGCAAAATGTTTATGCAGTTAATTTATCTGTCTTCTGAGTTTTTAGTTATTCAATCTTTTGAAAAGAGTCGGGTGTTTTAAAGGAAGTATTTAACAAGGAAGTATTTAAACAAGGCCCAGAACTGGGGGCCGGGTGAGTGTGAAATTGCTGGAATAAGGAGCATGGCTATTGAGGTGAGGTAGGAAAGGCCAGGGCACAGGAGGGACATATATCTAAGGAGTCTGATGGCTCCAGCTCTCAAAAGAACAGAAGGCAGGTCAGAGTAACTGCTCTAAGTGGGCTGAGGAGAGGTACTGCTTTTATTTATATGGTTCTGTTTGCATTTTTTATAAGAATTAATAAAGAATAAATAAAAAATTCATATCCTAACTTTATTGTCCCCCTTTTTAAACTGGCTAACAGGTATCTCCGTATCTAGCTGTGGAATGAGGTCTGATCTTGCTGCCAGTCCTTCTTCCCTGGTTGGCTGCAGCCGTGAGGGGTGCAGGGAGCACAGGCAGCCCCTCAGCTGGCTCAGGCCAGACTGCATAGAGGAAAATGTGGGCCCACATCACACCCCTGAGCCAAGTACCAAAAGAGGGGTGTTTGATTTAGCTTTTTGGGTTCCTGATACCATACCAGACTCATTTAATCCTTAATAACAGTCCTGAGAAGTGGTTATTAGCTCCATTTTACAGGTAAGCAAACAGGCTCAGGCAGGTTGAATAATTTACCTAAGGTCACAGCTAGGAAGGCAGCAGTGCTGGGAATCAAACCCAGTTCTGTGTAACGCCAAAGTCCTTGGTCGTCTTTGTCTCCAGTCTGCTTTCCAATCCCATAGCCTTTTCAGGTTGTACTGGAGACAAGGATAAGATGGGTGAGTCTCTTATGCCCTTATTATTCCAAGTGAACTATCCAGAATTGAGAGAGATAATTTAAATTTTCTGGATGGGGGGGAACACTGATAGGAGTGTAACTCTTCAACACTTCCTTATGGATTTCAGCCTCTGCCCATGATAGTGCCCTAATCCTGTAGCTTCTGCTGCCTCTTTCTCTGTGCTCCTTTGAATTGTAGTTAGATCTGAATGTCTATTTCATACTGCGTTCATCCCCAGGTCTTCAAAGTAGAAGGGATGACTCCTATCAGTTTTATAGATGGAAAAGGAGGATAGAATATCAAGCGCTGTTAACACTTTGTATCTTTATTCAGTCCTCACAGCAGCTCAATGAAGTAGGTATTAGTATAGCTGGTAAGTCTACACAGGAAGCAGCTGAGGCATGGAGATCACCCAGCCAATAAGTGGTGGAGGCTAGAAGTAGGATTCCAGCTTGGACCTTAGCAGAGAGACATCTGGATTTTGCTTCTCAGTTTCCTCCTCTGTGAAATGAGAAAGCGCAAAGTACCTACCTGTTGTTGTTGTTGGACTCACATCTCGGCTGCTGCTGGCATCATCATTAGGATCCAGGTGTTCTGGGGTCTGCATGGACTTTGGAGCCAGACAGACCTAGGTTCTACTTCTGGCTCTGCACTTAACATAGGACTTTGTGACTACAGGAAAGTAATTTCAACTCTCTGCATTGTGCTTATTCATCTATAAAGTGGGGATAAACAGTTCTTAACCTTACAGGCTGCTGGGGCTCTTTAGTGAGATAATACTTGTGTCAGAAACATAAGCACTTTATAATAAAGTTTGGCTATCATTATTTCACCAAGGTGCTCTGGGAAATTAGTGATTTTAAGTTAAGACTTACTCCACTCTGGCTTTTGAAGAATGGGAACAGCAGAAGCCTTTGCACTGGTCAGGACCCCATGTTTAGGAAGGGTCTGATGAGCTGATTGTCTCTTCATTCTCTCACTCCTCAGAGCTCCCAGGATGGGAACCCCAGCCTCTGTGGTGAGCGAGCCGTCCCCCTGGCAGGCCCCAGCTGAAGCCCGGGGCCGCAAGCAGGCCTCAGCCAACATCTTCCAGGACGCCGAGCTACTGCAGATCCAGGGCCTGTTTCAGCGCAGTGGGGACCAGATGGCTGAGGAACGGGCACAGATCATCTGGGAGTGTGCAGGGGACCACCGTGTGGCAGAGGCCTTAAGGAGGCTGCGTAGGAAGAGGCCTCCACGGCAGAAACCCCTGGGCCACTCACTACACCACTGCAGCCGCCTCAGGTGGGTCCCTGAGGACAGAAGGGAAGCACTAATGACACCCATTCTACTATTTCCTGGCTGTGTGACCTGGAGCTACTGACTTGGCCTCCTTGTAAAGTACCTACCATTGGGGTTGTAGGGTCTACACAGTGCCTACCATGTGGTTGGCACTTGAGATTATTGTACTACTGGAGTCATAAACGATCCTGAGAACTCCCACGGGAAGGGATGCCTGGGC